TCCTTTTGGCAATTGATGGAAAAATATATATATAAAAAACTACAAACGTGGAAATAAGACCCATGAGTATCATCATGAAGAGTTAAACTTAATCACCAAAAGAGAATTAGTAAAGAAAATAAGCATCATGAAGAGTTAAACTTAATCACCAAAAAAAATTAGTAAAGCAAATAAGTTTTTCATCTTAAGAAGCTTTAAATTTAAAGACACTAATTCTCTTCTTGGAGAGCATACACTTCAAGATAACATTCCAATCCAAGATCATATAACAATAAGATAGAATTTTTTTTTTTTTTTTTTGTGAATGAACAACAACATAGATAATTCATGATTAAAGATAATATAAATTTTTACATTATTAATGTATGCATGTAAATAAATTCTTAATAGAAAAAATGTCAAAATTATAATATTCGATTTGACATTTAAGAAGACAATTAAATTTGTTGTTTTTTTTATTTATAATTTACTTTTTCTTATCCAATTTATTTATATTTTAGTATGAGTTGATTTATAAGTGATATCACTAATCACATGATTTGATACATTTAATCTGATGTGGTTTGAATTGATTTGTATATAATATTAAGGATCTTAAACTTTTTTTATACGCTTATTTTTAATAAAATAAGATTTTTTTTTTACAATTTTTATGTGTGTGACTATTTTTCAAAAAATATTTTTAAATTTAAATAAACAAACGCTAAATCTAGCTTAATTCAAATTGATTAAGAGTATTTTGAATTAGATTAGATGTTTTAATTTTTAAATTATTGTTTCTTAACAAATATTGATATTATTAAATCTAAAAAATATAATAATTATCATAAAATAGTATGTGAAAAGTTTTAACTTTAAATCATATTATATATATATATATATATATATCAATTTCAAGTATATTGTCTCACATCTAAACTTAATGTATTAGTTAAAATAGTTTTAATTATTTTTTGAAAAAACTAAATATAAAAATAACATTAATAAGACATAGAGCATATATACTTTCTTATTAGGACATGTATATCTTAATAAGACATAGTTGAAATAATAAAATTATGAAGAAAATAATTTGTAAACTTATTATCCGTACATGTATGAATTTTATGATATTTTTATAAATAAATTTACGTATATGATATAAGTTTCACTTGGAAAAGTTTAGATTAATTTTCAAAATTATATAAGAAATTTAATTTACTCAGCACCAAAAAATTGACCTAGTTGTTGAATTTGATTTTTACATAATACACGATATGAGTCTGTGTATGACACTGTTTATCCTTTTATAATTATTTGAAATGGATAGGTGACAAGTCAATTTGTAACATCTTTTACCATTTTATAATTAATAAAAATCACAATTTGAATTAAATAAAAGTAATAATTTTTTTAAAATATTTTATGTATGTTTCATAGTGATAGAAAATTCACATTTTATCACTAATTAAATAAAATCCATTTAAAATAAAATGATTAATAATAAAAATCAATAACAATAGTTTATATAAAAAATAAAATAAAAAATAAAATAAGATTTTTTACTCCAAAGGCCATACATAAGTTTATAAGTTAAACAATTGAAATATAAGTAAAACATAACACAATTAAAATGACTGAAACATTATCTCAAGCCCTAATGCCACATTCTATTAAATTATGGCATCCAAACTACAGCCTAGGAGACTTAAGTTTCATCACTGGTATCAACCTCTAGTTAACCCTCACCTACAAATGATGCTCAACTCAAACATAAACAAAAAAAATCAACAAATGGAAGGAGATACATCTCATTCATGCTCCCGGTATGAAATATGGTCAAACAACCTCAAACATAACAAATACATAAGAATAATATGACGTTTTATATTCAACACACATCCACAAGATTTATAACAAATGTAACATGCAATGTCTCATGTTTTAATGCCATATGCATGACATCATTCAAAAATACACGTCACTCGAAAGCTCATTAAATAGTCAAGGAGTATATGTTTGTAAATAGAGCCATTTGTCCAAAGGTTTCTTTGCCACCAAACATTCCCACTAAGGAGAAGATCCACCATGGTGGGTCAGGGTCAAGTGGTCATGCTAAGTCCATCTGTAATCATCATAAATTGTGATTGAGGTTCTTATGCTAAATTGATTCCTAAAGTTTGAATATGTTGACCGTTAAGGAATCCCCCTCATACTAGATTTCACATCAACACCTTGTACAAAATGCAAGTTTATACAAATGACACATGTCATAATAATCACGTCTCAATCAATCTAAATTTTGAATTGTCAATCTTAAAGGGATTCAACTATTCAATTGTCACATGGTCAACTATTCAATTATTTTCAATTGTTCACACATTTAATGAATTATATTTATCAATTGTCCTCAAGCTTTATATTGTGTAATATTTAATACTTTTATCACTTTATCCTCTCATTATCCTCTTTAATCTTATTCTTATTTGTCACACTTCTCACTTACTGAAGTCCTAAAGGCAACCAATGCCAACAATGGACCAACATGACTGTGTCAGACACCAACACAATTGTGTTAGGCAAAGCAATGATAAGCACAAACATGCTACCCCCAAGAATAGTCATGCTTGGACTCTCCTAATTATGCCTTATTTATGAGCATGGTCGTGCTACTTGATGAAGATTTTCGCAATCTCTCCACTTGGCAAGCGGACCAAGTTTCGATGTAGTATTTAAGTATCGTCCTCAAGGATTTGAGAATTTAGTAATTCTTACTCTAATGATCCAATAAAAGACATTGATATGATTGAAAGTGAATTAATGTGAAGTAAAATAAAACGATAATGTAAAATTTATAAGAACAATTATAAGAAGCGAGGATTGGACTCAGGAGTACTTGTTAAATCTTAAATCTTCTTAAAATAAATATGATTTTAATTTCATGACTTCCACGTTCATTTAGTAATTCAACAAGATCCCTCAAAGTTGAATCCTAAAGTGATTAATCTAAAACATGATTCCTCTATATTTTGAAATTAACACTTTGCATTAAGAACAATGGCTTGAACAAGGTGACTAAACAAATCAAGTCTATTCCTAGAGCAAGAGATGTTTAAGTGCAAGATTCAGTTCAGGTTTTTAAAAACGTTTTCCAACCGGATTCAAAAACAAAAAATCATACAACGGGTGATCAAGCCGATATAAGCATTAAGAGAAGAATCAAACACAAGTAATGAAAATGAAATGCATATATATATTTAAGAAGAAGAAGAGTTAGTAGTTACATCCAGACCAATCCTCAAAGATTTAGCCCCTCATGGCCATTCACAAGATCAAAGGAGTGGAAGAAGAAATTACAAAGGAAGAGATGAAGAAAAGGAGTTGATCCTCGTTCCCAAGTGATCCAGCCTCCAAATCTT